GAACTGCAGTCAGCTGAAGTAGCCTGCAGTGCTGCACTCTAACCACTGCGCCACCTCGGTAGGATTCTTCCCACAGCACCGTCTGTAACTTACTAAAAGTGGTTACTGAACAAACCTGGTTTTTCTGGGTTCACAGGGCCCATCGGACCCTGCAATGAAACAATTCCGGCTTGCAAGGGGATTTCCCGACATTTCCAAAGGTGGCTCACCAAGTTGCAGCCTTTAATGAATGGAAGAGGTGGGGGAAAAAAACGGCAACAATATTCACTAATTTCTGTAATTTAATTTTTAAAAAAATCTATTTTTTAAAAAAAAAATATGGAATGGAGTTAAAAGCAATCATTTAAATAACAAAAATAGCTTCCTGGCCAGGCAAATTTGATTCGGCCTCTTCTGCAGTCGTCGTTAAGCAAACGGCACGGCCGTTAAGCGGATCCCTTCTTAGCTATGGGGTGGGGTTTTTTTGTTGCCTTGTTTTTAGAAAGTTTGGTGTCGTTTTTTTGTTTCGTTTTCGACAATTGAACCCGCGGACTTAGGTTGTGGCCGCAAAGAGGCCTGGTCTTCCGGCCTGTCTTTCGTTTACGGTAGATTTTTGTCCGGTCGCAGCCGAGGTTGTGGACTGTTTTCTTGTGGCACACAATGTGCACCAGTTTCAAATTGTCCGTGGTGAACATGAGCCGGTAAAAATATTCCCAGTCGATTTCCTTCCCGTCGCAGCCTTTCACGGCCTCGACTAAAGTGGGCAGGACCGCCCTCTTCTTCTCAATTCTGAAACAGAAAGGAAGGTTACGTATTTCTCAACTTAACTTATAAATTCAATAGTGATATTGCTGTTTCTTTTGAAATTCTTCCCCGTCTGTACATACAGCAGCCAGGGAGCTTAAAATTCAAGGAATGTTTTTTTGTCTACACACAATTGATCCATCATCCCCAGGAAGGGCCAAAAATAATGACTGAATGAAGAGGGTGGGGTTGTGTTCCGAGACTCACATGTGGTCGAGGTTCCACGTGCTGAACAGAATTCGGCTTTCTTTGTTCCCGTAAGGGTTGATGGAGTGCCTCCAGGAGCAGTCTTCGGAGTCAAAGGGGCCCTGTAGATATGAGGCACACAAAGCTGAAGACAAGGAGTCCTCAACTTACAACAATTCATTTACTGACCGTTCAAAGTACCAACGGCACTGAAAAAAGGAACTTAGAACCATTTGAATAAATTTTTATAAGTTGAGAACTACCTAGAGGTTTTATTTTGGCACTGTCAATATATGTTGGGCAGTTTGCATCTCTGTAAAGCCAGCGTGAGCAACCCGTGGGCCCCACCCTGGAAGACCCACCCCCCTCTCCCCATGCTTCCTGCAATGCCTGACCAAAGGTTCAACTTCGGAAAGCGAAAGTGAACCACTCAACGCCACTCAAAGAGGAAAATAAAAATGCTTTAACGCCTTTGCTTTGGTTTTCTTACCACTACTTACTTGGCAAGAGAACCAGCCTTCCGGTGTGCAGAGGCGATCCTTGGTCTCTTCCTTCCGGTCAAAATAAAAACCATTGTATTTCTCCGACTTCAGTTTCTCCAGCATGGCTTCAGCGATCCCACTGAATTTCACTTGGAGGGCGGGAGGGACGGCAGAAACGTAAGCCCCAAGCTTTGGGGGAGAAACGCAAGCTTTAAGTATCTTATTTAAAAATATCATTTAAAGATAATTGAGCTTCCTTGCCAGTCCGCTCCCCAAAGCAAACTTCACGGTGTTTTTTTTTTCACAAACCAGGCTGAAACCTGATAGATCAAAAGCTAATTCAAACCCTGAATAAGAATGGCGAAAGCAAACCAAACTAAAAAGTAGGATGGGAAAAATGCAGGGAATTATGGGGGATGCCTTGCCCTTAACATAAAAGAAAGAGAATCCCAAAGCAGCTTAAAAAGGTTTGTGTCTATATTATCAGGGAGCCTTTGTGAGTTGCGGTCCGCAAAAAATACACTCAACGTTTCCATGTAATTAAGAGCACAATATGGAAAGTTAGAATTACAAATATTTAGTGCAGCGTATGTGCCAAACTGTGCTTCACCTTGAATTTTATGCCTTTCTTTTTCAGTTTAATAAACAAAATAGTAATGGGCCACAAAGTAATCATGCAAACATAAGCAACTTTTTTGACTGTTAAGTGCTAATCAGTTCACTTGTCCAGGAAAAGTTCAATCAATCATTTGCCGAATGCCTAATCATCATAAACAATGGTTAATGGGTAATAGGTAGGTATGGTGAAGGTAGGCTTTGTCTCCAAAAATCTTAAGGTCAGAACAAAGATTGGGTAAGGAGTTTCACACATTACCTCTTTCATGTATCCACGAATTCTGCTCTCACAACTATGGTGCATATAACTGGACTTGGTCTTAAACCGAGACTCAACCCCTAGGAATGGTCGGAAATGAATGCCGTCAGTCCTCTGCTTTCCCAAAAAGCCTCTTGGGCCCACATTCCAAATCCAAGCGAGACTGTCAAGTTTCTAGTCCTTAAGGCTGCGTTCCCCAAAACTCTCGACATCCTGAGCATTTTTACCCACAGACCAAACGCCAGAGAGATGCACAAGAGGTCGGCTCAGAACTGACCTTCAAACCACATCTCGTCTTCCTTTCTGCTTTCGGCAGAGATGTTTTCGCTGAGGTTCTGAATCAGGTCAGACAAGAGTTTGCACCTCATAGGAGCCTCCTCGCCTGAGAGGAGCCCCTGAGCTGCGTGGACCACGCCAGGAGAACAGCTGGAGAAAGCACTCAGGAAGCGCTCGATCTCACTGACGTCTGCCAGGAGAAAAAGACGGGAAAACCAAGGATTACTTATTCTTGCAGATGATTAGCTTTAAGGGCATATGTATATGTGCATAAGGTAAAGGTTCCCCTCGCACATATGTGCTAGTTGTTCCCGACTCTAGGGGGAGGTGCTCCTCTCCGTTTCAAATCTGAAGAGCCAGCGCTGTCCGAAGACGTCTCCGTGGTCATGTGGCCGGCACGACTCAACGCTGAAGGCGCACGGAACGCTGTTCCCTTCCCACCAAAGGTGGTCCTTATTTTTCTATTTGCATTTTTTACCTGCTTTCAGACTGCTAGGTTGGCAGAAGCTGGGACAAGTCACGGGAGCTCCCTCCGTTACGTAGCGCTAGGGATTTGAACCGCCGGCCTTTCTGATTGACAAGCTCAGTATCTTAGCCGCTGAGCCACCGCTTCCCCATGTGTGTGCGTACCTATATGTGTATACGAGTGTATGTATATGTATGTACGTATGAGTGCCTGTATGTATACATTTATTTGTCTGTGTTATATATGTACATGTGCATGTATGTATCTATATATTGGATCTTTGAGGTTTGCACATTTCCTAGTATGTCAAGTTGCTAGTCCTCAGGGTGGTCTCTGCAGAGGCGAGCAAGGTGCTAGTCCTCATCGAGGCAAAGTTCTAAATTTCTAACAGCGCTAGAAACCAACCCTTAGCTGACCTATTTGGGGCTGGTTGGAAGAGGAGCAGGGGAAGGGGTTGTGTTGTGTGTTGTGTATTTTGTGTGTGTGTGTGTGTGTGTGTTGCGCCACTTACATCCACTCCATTCCTCCCCTGGGCGCAGCAGGATCAGTTCGGAGTTCTCGGGCAGGGCGCGGAAAGCCTCCTCGCTGACTTGGCGGCCGTCCTCGTAGCAGCCCAGCCGGCAGCCCTCCACCAAGGGCGGCTGTGGGGAAGCAGGGAAGCCCCTCAAGGGAACCGTTACTCGGACAGAGACGCGCCGGTCGCCCGCCCTCCTCCTTCCCCTCCCCTCTACCCACCTCCAGGCGGGAGGCCTTCCGCAGCAGCTCCGCCAGGCTCCCGGCCGCCAGCCCGTATCTGCGCCCTGCGGGGCCCGCCCGCACTTTGAAGGCCTTGGCCGCCATTGCACCGGAAACCGCCCCCCCGCCTCCCCCCCCCCCCCCCACCTGCGGCTCCTGCGCCTTGATTGGCCCGGAGCGCAGCCAATCCGCGGCCGATTCGCGACTGCGCACGCGCGGGAGGAACCCCGCTGCGAGCATCCCATTCGCTGCCTCGCCGGCCCCACTGTGCCGCCGCGCTCACGCCTGCGCAGTCGCGCCGCAGCGGTTGCTAGGGGAACAGAGGCCCTAGTGATGGAACCGGAATAAAGTAGGAGGCGAGGGGGGCGAGAGGGACGGAGGGAGCCCCCCACCTTCTCTTGGGCTCCCCTCCCCAAACGTGGGGACTGTGGGGGGGGCGGGGCTCCCTTGGGGCGGGGGTGAAAGGGGCGGGGCTCCTCCCGAGTGCGGGGCCGGTGGAACTGCCCGCCACTAGATGGGGGCAACGGGAAGGGGGGGGCTAGTAGAGCGGGGCTGGCGTTGCTAACATTGGGATTCATGGCTCCTCTTAACCGGGACGGGGGAGGGGAGGGAAGCATCGCCGTACCCGAGAAGAGCCAGTCAAGGTGAGCTGTGCCCCCTCCCCTTTTGTTCTCCCCCCCCTCCTCCTTCCCCGCAGTCGTCTTCATGGTGGTGAAGGTCGCGCGAGCAGAAGAGGCCGCCCCCGCCTGCCACGACGGACGGATTGGCTCCAGGTGGGGCTGGGAGAGGGGGGGCGGGATGGACCTGCATGCAAGCCCAGAACGGTGCAAAAACACGTCAATCCAATGCATGCAAAACTCCTGCGCAATGCAAAACATGCCAACCCAACATATGCAAAGCATGGGCTGTGCAAGCCCAGAACGGTGCAAAAACACGTCAATCCAATGCATGCAAA